GCTGCGAAGCCTGGCCCCTCACAGCGACTGCACAACTGGTTTGAAAGCCAAGGCAGGCCCTCTTAAAATATCATTCTACTGATTTCGATCCACTTTTCCAATTTCCAGAACCACGTTATTCTATCCTGTTGACCACCCTTCCAAACGTGAATAGCATGCCTACATTTTTTGTCCCAGTCACTTTAAAATGATAGATCCAAGGGCCCGTGAAGCTGCCTCGTGAACTGGAGCCCACGTCCTGTGTCCACTGACACTCTGGAATGTCATTTATCTGGGCGTGGACCTGAAACTCACTCGAAAGTGCTATGTTCCTGTCTCTTAAGTTATTCTCAGTTATAACCCTCTATCATTGGAATCATGCAATCCACACAGAGGAATCAGAGCTTTCCTTGACAGAAACTACGCGAGCAGCAGAGGAGTGAAATCTTTCCCTTCCTCCGAACCAGCGCACTTTCCCCAGGCTGCAAGCCTTCACCTGTCTTCATCGGAACACACACTTCTGACAAGACTTGTAAAAAATACATAAACCGCCTCTGTAAATCCACAAGAAAAAGGCGACAACCCAATAGGAGAATAGGCAGAAGACTTGGACGTTTCATACAAGAGGATTCCAGATGGACAATGAACACACAGAATCAGGAAATGCAAACACAACGCCCCGAGATCACTACTCGTCCACCAAAGTGGCCGAGATGATGGGAAGCACCACAGACGAAGGGGTGCAGAGCCACGGGAGCTCTCAGGCCTGCCGGTGGAGGGTAAACTGGGCCCGCCACCCTCGAAAGCTGTCTGCACTACCCGCTGCAGCTGTCAGTCCTGCTCCCGGGCGCACTGGGGTACACATTTTGTAGAAATGTGAGCAAATGGTCACCAAAAGGTCTAGAATAACCGCGCAGCACCACTGTGCTCATGGTATCCCAAACTGTGACCTACCCAAAGGCCCACCAACGGTAGAATGGATAAATGAATTTTGACATATTCCCACAGAGGAACGTTACACATTTAGTGGGGCGGTCCACCACTATCCTGAACATGGGGAAAGGCTCACAAACGTGATGTTGCATGAGAAAGCCAGAAACAAAAATAAGTACAAAAATAAAGTACAGAAGTAGGCAAAACGAATCTATGATGTCAGAAGTCAGGCTCGGGGCAGTTACTGGAAGCAGCACGGGGTGGCCAGGGTATTCAATTTCTTACTTGCTAGCAACACGTATGCTCGGTTCGGAACACTCACCGGGCCGCACGCTTACGGTAGGTGCACGTTTCTACGTGTGGAGCACACTTCGACAGAGAGACGGTATCACAGACACCAAAAGGCTGGAAAACACTCTTCAAGGACACTAAGCATCACCCTTGCTCTCTGAACAAAACTTTCGTCCCGGAGAAACCATCGGCACGCAGGCTGGTGGGCGACTGCGCACACCCCTGGGGAAGGCGGAGACGAGGAAGCCCGACTGGCTACAGGACAGAGTCACTGAGGACCTTCTTCCTAACACAGGCAATTCACATTTAAACACTGCCGCCCCGACACTTGAGAACTGCGGAAGCGGACCCGGAACCCAGCAGCTCGAGCCAGTGCACGCAGTAGGAGCAGATACTCACACACTGCTGCTTCCCTGGAAACGGAAAGAAACAGGCGGGCGCGTCACAGAAACACACATTTCAACACTTTGGAGTCCTGGAGTCCATAGTGCAAATTTAAAATTATGGGCAAATATCCTTTTAAGATGATTTACAAGCCTGAATTTACAATGAGAATGCTAAAAACACAGCAAAAATTAAAAATCAGTGTAAGTAAAAATAAAACGTAATGAACGATCTGGCGTGCATCTACATCATAGGCTGTTAGCGTGACCGTGACCAGGAGCTGCGGTGTGAAAGCATGTTTGTTAAGGAGACGTTGCATTACTGTCAATCCCTCCGCGTGTTCTCGATGACTGTCAAAACCTGTTAGAAAAGCTGCCGGCCCTCCTCTTCTAATGCAAATCCAAAATGTTCAAGCACCGCCCGGTGTCCAACATTTGGCCCCAAACACGAACCTCACTCACCTCAGTCAATGTGCTCCTTCCCAATCCCTACTGTGGGGCCAAACCAAAACCACTCGGGGTCACCGTGGAGACCCATTCAGCCTCAGCCTTCCCTATGGCCACTACTGCTGAGTCTAATTTTGCGGCTTTAAAGGCCAGAAGTAAACTTGTCCTCCTCCAATCTTTTTTTTCTTTTTTGAGACAGAGTTTCGCTCTGTTGCCAGGGCTAGAGTGCTGTGGCATCAGCCTCGCTCACAGCAACCTCCAACTCCTGGGCTCAAGCGATCCTCCTACCTCGGCCTCCAGAGTAGCTGGGACTACAGGCATGCACCACTGTGACCCGCTAATTTTTCTATTTTTAGTAGAGATAGGGTCCTGCTCTTGCTCAGGCTGGTCTCGAGCTCCTGAGCTCAAGCCATCCTCCTGCCTTGGCCTCCCACACCCCTCCTCCTCCAATTTAATGAAAAACTTCCTGTACCTCTCTGGTGACATGCATATTATCCCTTTACCTTTTCCTTAGACATATTTTATTAATTGTTCTCCTACTGCATCACTAGCGATACAAGGGACAGGTTTTGATTATATTCAAGGTATCTTTCAAACCCCAAGAAGCGTCTCGCACACCAAGCACAAACTACATACAGGCCAAATGAGAGCGAGGCAATCATGGTATTATCTATTTAAAATTACCTTCAGGTGCCGGCACCACACACACAAAAAAATTACCATCACAAATATAAGATCATATAGCACTTGCTTTGATTCTGTTCAAAAACAAAACTTCCAAAGCCAACAGGTAAAAATTCTTATAAGTCTGTCCCTGAATAACAGCCATTATTCCTTGTCTCCCCAGTTACGAATTTTAGTAGTGGGCCCTGAGAATCTGAGGCGGTATCTGTCCAAATTCCAGTCCCCCACCCAACAGAGAAGGGCTCTGGGGACCCTCCCCGTCTCGCCTGCAGCAGAATCGTCACTCGCACCTGCGTTCTAGGGCCCTGTTAGGCTCACCCTGTCCACTCTCTCCTGGGGTTTAACTCGTCCAGCGACTACAGCTGGATTCCAAGATGCAAAAGGAAACGAGATTTCCCCAAAGGTGCACCTTAAAAGTCCTTCTATGCCACACACAAAAACAACACCCGGAGGTGGCGGGGGAGAGGGTGACATTTTCTGACTGAAACCAACAGAAAAGGCAAGAGCTACACCCAACCCAGGTCAGGCGGCCTACAAAAATCCTCAATAAAGTGTAGTTCTGTGGCTGAAAACAACTTGAACAATTTTCAACTACACTTTATTTGCTCAAGAACCTAAAAGGAGCACTAGCAAAAACGGGGTTTTGAGGCACACCCCAAGTCATGCCACGGGGAAAAACCCAGCCAAGCCCGCCGGCAGGCAGCGGGGACCCAGAGTGGGTGTGGCGGGG